CAAAACAATGATCAAAGTGTAAATATTCTGATGTTGGTAATTAACTTGCACCAGATCACAAAAACTTGTTACTTTACAAGTCTTATTTCAGAGAACTGACTGCAACTGTGGTTGTTACAATTGTTGAAAGTAAAAAAAAAAAAAAAACATGTACAAATGACAAAAGGAACAGACTAAAAATGGAATATTACATGATCATTGCCATAAGTAATGGTTCAATGGGAAAATCAGCATTACGATACAATTATATTTTAAACAAGTATAATATTTTTTAATAGTGATACAGATGACCACATAAGATCTTGTTGACAACTATGTTTAATTCTGATTGTTTACATTACATTATTATGTTCAAATTCACCAATTTAGCTGTTAACCTTTCTTCCAGAAGTTTATTCTAAAATACAACGTTTCAGCTGACAGTAAAATGCATCCCTCGCAACAGAACACAGACAAGTTCCACCAAAAGTGGTTCAAAATTAATTTAGATAAAACCGTTTGGACTCGAGTGGGTGAAGAGGAGTCCGAGATGAAAGTTAAATGAAATCTACTGAATCAAAACTAGTACAACTTGAAGCTAGATAAACTTACCCGAGAACTTGTATGGTGGTGGGGGTGTTAATCTCCCCATGATAATATAATTAAATATCCTGAATCATATAAATAAGAATCATTTTTATATATTTTAACTGTTTCTAAAATTATATGCATTCAAACTAAGTTATTATGCATTCGTTAAAAACAGTATACATGTGTATCAACTTTTAACAAAGGAAAAAGGTAGGGGAGGCCCACAAGTTTGTCGTAAAAATAACAAAAAGACACTTAAGAAGTGTATATAATTTAATGTTAAACCACTGGTCATACACAGCTGACATGATCATTTAATGTTAAAACACTGGTCATACACAGCTGACATGATCAGGTGTCCTTCACAAGTTAAGGCAACGTTTTCAGCAGTAATATTGTCAACAAAATCTTTTTTGATGCATATCATTATTGGTAGAATTATCATACATGTTCATGTGATGACAACAGACAAATAATTATTTCTCTATTGTGCTGATAGAGCATTAAGTTATTTTTTTTTTACAAACTTTCCAAGGAAGTTTACACTTGGATTTGTCCTGGTGTCCCGATACGGCAGTACGTGCCTGCTAATATTTATACGGAAGCTTTTCTACATTCATCAGTTTACAACAGAACACTGTTTAGTATTATTTAACAGTAAAAATTACAAATTATTAACCTTAACTTCAGTGGATTTTATAAATTTTCAAGAAATATCTAAAAGTAGTTATTAGTTACTAATGTATCACATTGTAACGGTAAACTGACTGCCAATTCAATTAATTTCTACAAATTTCAAAGCAATTGAACACCTGGGTATGAAGTCTATCAGAGGACATTTACTGTTCAAATTACATGTTTTTAAAATAATTCTGTTTAAAAAACAATCCACACTTCCAGCTACTGCTTGGTGATAATGTTTACAACAATCCACACTTCCAGCTACCACTTTGTGATAGTGTTTACAACAATCCACACTTCCAGCTACCACTTTGTGATAATGTTTACAACAATCCACACTTCCAGCTACTACTTTGTGATAATGTTTACAACAATCCACACTTCCAGCTACTAATTTGTGATAATGTTTACAACAATCCACACTTCCAGCTACTAATTTGTGATAATGTTTACAATAATCCACACTTCCAGTTACTAATTTGTGATAATGTTTACAACAATGCACACTTCCAGCTACTGCTTGGTGATAATGTTTACAACAATCCACACTTCCAGCTACTACTTTGTGATAATGTTTACAACAATCCACTCTTCCAGCTACCACTTTGTGATAATGTTTACAACAATCCACACTTCCAGCTACTACTTTGTGATAGTGTTTACAACAATGCACACTTCCAGCTACTGCTTGGTGATAATGTTTACAACAATCCACACTTCCAGCTACCACTTTGTGATAGTGTTTACAACAATCCACACTTCCAGCTACCACTTTGTGATAGTGTTTACAACAATCCACATTTCCAGCTACCACTATGTTAGTGTTTACAACACTCCACACTTCCAGCTACCACTTTGTGATAGTGTTTACAACAATCCACACTTCCAGCTAAAACTACTACTTGGTGATAATACCGTATTAGTGCAACAGAGATGCCAAATGTAGGCTTTTTGTCAACCAATGGTCACTGTTGAAATATCCATTTGGAACTTGGTTAAGTTGGCTATCACACATTCTACAATATTACATCTGAAATTATCATAATTCATTAACATGTATCTAGGGGGACAGAAATATGTCAGTCTTTGTATTCCCAACATCAAACCAGGTTTCAAAGTTGTAGTTATTAGACAAGTCTATTGGTCTCTATGTAGTTCAAACACCAATCCATAAGTTTTGTAATAATCAGACGAGTTGTCCTGTGGCTTCTTTTTTTGTTACTTAAGAGAGTTAATATCAGATAACTAGTACCACAAAACCAACAGCGTCCAAACTCACCTGCTCTGCACACTTTTTGAGAACATTTCCCAGTTCATTAACAACTAGGTCTACACACTTTAAAGATGGTTCCTTCAACCTTGCGATCTGTCTTTTTACAATAGCTTCAAAGGCCATATCTGGAGTGAAAAGTCCAACCCTAAAACATGATAGAATGTACTGACATTACATATATTGATTTCTGGATGAATAACCTGTATAAATACACTATTTCAAAGCCTACTTATTACAACTTGAATTTAGACTATACAAAGTTTTAAAACTTGATACACTACACTAAGAAGCTATGGTTTCAACGCCAGCTCTATACCATACAGGAATACAGTCTGTACAATTTACATTGCACAGAAATTATTACATTTCTATTAGTTGCATGCTGCCTTATGCCTAACTTAATGTTCACACACAAAAGTGAATCTTAAAAAAAAAGGGTCTTTTTGGTTAGGAGGGACTAAAGACTGTTAATTGGATCAAATAATCTTAGGCAAAAATGATTTTAAGATACTGTAAGACCCTCAAAAAATACACTTTGGACACCTTTGAAGATAAGTTTTTCTCTTTCTTCTTTAAAATTAAAATACTCATGCTCATTAGATTTGAAGGTACTTGCGTATATTTATTTACACAAACGGCTAACCCTTCCAGCTGAAAGTGTGACGTGTGCGACATATATTACACAGTTAAACATATGCTATAGTGTGAGGCTCTTGGTTTTAAATTCTCCAAGTGAAAATTTCCTTTATAAAATCCACAATACTTTTATCATATCTAATTTTCTGACCAACAACCTTTCT